TCTCTCCTTTTCCCTTTGCCCCTCCCCTCTCTCTCTAAAAAAACAAAAGAAAGAAAGAAAAATCTAAAGATTAAAGGGAACAGAAACTAAATATTAATGACCTTAGCAATTCACCTTTCAGTGAACTACTCAACAAAAACTGAAAAACCTGAAGATACACGATAAATACACAGTAACTCTAGAAACTGAAGAAATTTTTATCTTTCATGGATAGAATAGGTAAAAGTAGTATTGGCTGCTACTTAACTATTAACTGCTCTACAGAATAGGCAGATGTGGACAGTTTTGAGAGAAGGAAAATGATTTAAAATATGAAGAGGGAAAAAAATCCCTAATTAAAATGGAATGAAGGATAAAACATTACATCTCAAGAGAAGTAAGGGCCAGGAAAATCTGTAGCATGGAGATACCAAAAAGAGGAAGATGAAGGTAGAACAGTGAAGGGCCCAGAAGTGCAAAACAGATTTTCAACATGGCAACAGGCCTAAAAAAAGTATTTGGTAGAACTTTACAGGAGGTAAAGCTTATAGTAATGATAACATCAAATAGGTAGTACTTAAAACTGATATGGTAAGTAGCAAGTTTTAAGTTTTAAATAAACTAAGCTATACAGATGATACAAACAAAAAAATGAAGCCTAGTCCTATTAATAAAGCCCAGAGACTCCAATAGATTTTCAAAGCATGTAAAAAATATTCAACCCCTTACCTTTAGGGAAGTCAGTTGATCTGCCCACATTTCTATTATAGGAATAAGATGCTCAAATCCACAATCCTGAACAAGATCTTTATTAAAATGTTGGGCTCCTCCTTTGCTCTGTTTATAAATTATTACTGGAGCTCTTGGATTGTGAACAATTGAATTGATGCTATTCAGAACCTGAAAGTATCTCTGGTCAATTAGGGCCTGCCGCTGGTTATCTTTGCTGGGTTCATCTGGTTTCTCTGGGTCCTCTGCCTTTTTTTGACTGATAAGATCCTGTAATTTGATGTCTTTCTTAAGGGCTTTCTCCAGTTTCTTCACCTGTTGTTTATAAAGTCTTAATTCATGCTGTGTGGGCCTGGTTTCCAAATCTTTTTGGAGATTCAGCTTTTCACTTAAAAGTGCATCAATCTTGGATTTCGATTCCTTGAGTTGATTCTGTAATGACATTAGAAGGCCTTTATAAGTTGGTGAGGCATCCAAACTTCTGTAGTCTTTTTCTTCTTCTGACGGACTTTCATTTTCTTTATATTGCCTTTGTTTATGCAATTTTCTAATTTTACATTCATAGTAATCAATTAGGCAAAGCAACTGTCTATCCAAGATGGTATGAGGAACTCTTTTGCAGAGATAAGCAAACACTCTGTTTTGAGTGACAATGCGCTCTTCTTCCTCCTTTGTTAATCTATAGATATCCTTTTGCAAAGAAGCAATAGTCTCTTGTTGCTCCATTCGTTTTTCCTTATAATGCTGACATTTTGCCTGTAAAGCTTTATGCTCCTTTTGAAGATCTTTTATTATATTCTGTTGCTGGCAAACCCTATTTAGAGATTCATCCTCCAATTCATCAATTTTGGACTTCACACTCTCCATAATTTGTTCCAAGTCATTAGCTCGTTGTTCATGATCGGCTGCTCGGCTTTGTTCTAACTGAAGTTCATTTTTAAGCTGCTGATTAGTTTCTATGAGCTCCTGGATCATGTTCTGTTGACGTGTTGTTTCTTCCACCAATGTTTCCAAATTCTGCCTCATCCTTTGTGATGACTGTTTGTCAAAAACGATGAGATCTTTAAGATCAGTTCTTTTGACTAGAGACAAAGGTTTTAGGCCATGCCTCATCAACAGCACATTTATGCTTTCCCATTCTGCTTCTTCCCGCAGTTTTTCAGTCATGAGTGTGTTTGATGATTTACTGGACTCCTAGGCTTTAGGGGCTGCTGGAGATATATCTTTTGTGAAATCAGAAGAAGTAGACTGGCAAGAAAAAATATTCACGTTGTCTCAGTCATAGCACATTCCTCTTGCACTTTTCACCTGTTCATTTAAGTTGATCTCAATGAAATGATCACCCAGTGAGTCTCACGTCCGAAACTGGATCTTCATCTTCCTTGGCCGCGGCCTCCCTCCACCAGCGCCTACACTCCACTCTTTTTGCTCGCATAGTTTCTGAGAAAAATTTGATGTAATTCTTGCCTTTGTTCCTCTATAAATAAGGTGTACCCCCCCCCAGCTTCTTTCAGGACTAACTTCAATTCTCTGTAATTTGGAAATTATATACCAATGTATATGTAGTTTTTGTTTGTTTTCATTTATTTTGCCATGTTATTTGAGCTCCCTGAATCTGTTATTTGCTGTCTGAAATTAATTTTGTGAACTTTTAAGTCATTTCAAATTTTTCTTCTGTTTCTTTCTATTTCTCTTCCTGGTAATTCCAGTACATGTATGTTGCTTTTGTGGTTATGCCATAGCTTATAGATATACTGTTCTGTATTTTTTAATATTGTTTAATTTAAATTCAATTAATTAACATAGAAAGTATTATTGGTTTCAGAGGTACAGGCCTGTGATTCATCAGTCTTATATAATACCCAGTGCTCATTACATCACATGACCTCCTTAATGTCCATCATCCAGTTACCCCATAACCCCATTCTGCAGTTTTCTGAGTACAGCTCCTTTGCCTCTTTGGTTCCCTTTATTCCTAGGTATCTAATGATTTCATGTGCAATTGTAAATGGGATCGACTCCTAAATTTCTCCTTATCTTGTCTCATTGTTAGTGTATAAGAATGCAACTGATTTAAGTGCATTTATTTTCTATCCTGCCACATTGCTGAATTCCTGTATGAGTTCTAGCAATTTTGGGGTGAGGTCTTTTGGGTTTTCCACATAGAGTATCATGTCATCTGCAAAGAGTAAGAGTTTGAATTCTTCTACGCTGATTTGGATGTCTTATTTCTTATTGTTGTCTGATTGCTGAGGCTAGGAATTCTACTACTATGCTGCACAGATTGGTGATATTGGCCATCCCTACCATGTTCCTGACCTTAGGGGGAAAGCTCTCAGTTTTTCCCCATTGAGAATGATATTTGCTGTGGGCTTTTCATAGATGGCTTTTATGATTTTGAGGAATGTTCCGTCTATCCCTACACTATGATGAGTTTTATTTTTATTTATTTTTATTATGTTCAATTAGCCAACATATAGCACATCATTAGTTATTGATGTAGTGTTCAGCGATTCATTATTTGCATATAAAACCCGTGCTCATCACAACATGTGCCCTCCTTAATACCCATCACCTGACTACCCCATCCCCTCACCTCTCTCCCTTCTGAAACCATCAGTTTTTTTCCCAGAGGCCACAGTCTCTCATGGTTTGTCTCTCCCTCTGATTTCTTCCTGTTCACATTCAGTTTTCCATCCCTTCCCCTATGGTCCTCCATGCTATTCTTTATGTTCCACATATGAGTGAAACCATATGATAATTGTCTTTCTCTACTTGACTTATTTGATTTAGCATAATGTCCTCCAGTTCCATCCATGTCAATACAAATGGTGGGTATTCATCCTTTCTGATAGCTGAGTAATATTCCATTGTATATATAAATCACATCTTCTTTATCCTTTAGTCTGTTAAAGGGCATCTTGGCTCCTTCCACAGTTTGGCTATTGTGGACATTGTTGCTATTAACATTGGGGTGCATGTGCCCCTTCTTTTTGCTATATCTGGATCTTTGGAATAAATACCAACTAGTGCAATTGCTGAAATACCCACTAGTGCAATTGCTGGGTCATAGGGAAGCTCTATTTTTAACTTTTTGAGGAACCTCCATATGGTTTTCCAAAGTGGCTGTACCAGCTTGCATTCCCATCAACAGTGTAAGAGGGTTCCCGTTTCTCCACATCCTCGCCAATATTTGTTGTTTCCTGCCTTGTTAAATTTGTCATTCTAACTGGTGTAAGGTGGTATGTCATTGTGCTGATTTGTATTTCCCTAATGGCTAGTGATGATGAACATTTTTTTCATGTCTCTGTTAGCCATTTGTATGTCTTCTTTGGAGAAGTGTCTGTTCATGTCTTCTGCCCATTTTTTGACTGGATTATTTGTTTCTTGGGTGTTGAGTTTGAGAAGTTCTTTATACAACTTGGATACCAGCCCTTTATCTGTAATGTCATTTGCAAATATCTTCTCCCATTCCGTGGGAGGGCTCTTAGTTTTGCTGACTGTTTCCTTTGCTATGCAGAAGCTGTTTATCTTGATGTAGTCCCAAAAGTTCATTTTTGCTTTTGTTTCCCTTGCCTTTGGAGACATGTCTTGAAAGAAGTTGTTGTGGCCTATGTTGAAGAGGTTACTGCCTTTGCTTTCCTCTAGGATTTTGATGGATTCCTGTCTCATATTGAGGTCTTTCATCCATTTTGAGTTTATCTTTGTGAATGATGTAAGAGAATGGTCCAGTTTCATTCTTCTGTATGTAGCTGTCTGATTTTCCCAGCACCATTTATTGAAGAGACTGTCTTATCCATTGGGTATTCTTTCCTGATTTGTCAAAGATTATTTGACCATGGAATTGAGGTTCCATTTCTGGAGTCCCTATTCTTTTCCATTGATCTATGTGTCTGTTTTTGTGCCAATACCATGCTGTCTTGGTGATCACAGCTTTTATGATGTTGAGGTATGTTCCCTCTATCCCTACACTATGACGAGTTTTAATCAAGAGAGGATGCTGTACTTTGTCAAACACTTTTTCTGCATGTATTGAGAGGATCATATGGTTCTTGTCCTTTCTTTTATTTATGTCATGTATCACATTGACTGATTTGCAGATGTTGAAACAACCTTGCAGCCTAGGAATAAATCCCACTTGATCGTGGTGAATAATCCTTTTAATATACTCTTGGATGCTATTGGCTAGTATTTTGGTGAGAATTTTTGCATCCATGATCATGAGGGATATTGGTCTGTAATTCTCCTTTTTGGTTGTGTCTTTGTCTGGTTTGGGGATAAAAGTAATGTTGGCCTCATAGAAAGAGTTTGGAAGTTTTCCTTCCATTTCTATTTTTTTTGAAATACCTTCTTCTTTAATGGTTTGGTAGAATTGATCTGGAAAGTAATCCCGCCCTGGGCTCTTGTTTCTTGGGAGGTTTTTGACTACTTCTTCAACTTCCTTGCTGGTTATGTGTCTGTTCAGATTATGTATTTCTTCCTGTTTCAGTCTTGGTAGTTTATAAGTGTCTGGGAATGCATTCATTTCTTCCAGATTTCCTGGTTTGTTGTTATATAGTTGCTCATAATATGTTCTTATAATTGTTTGTATTTCTTTGGTGTTGGTTGTGATCTCTCTCTTTCATTCATGATTTTATTTATTTTTGTACTTTCTCTTTTCTTTTTGATAATTCTGCCCAAGGGCTTATCAATCTTATTAATCCTTTCAAAGAACCAGCTCCTAGTTTCATTGATCTGTTCTACTGTTCTTTTGGTTTCTATTTCATTGATTTCTGCTCTGATCTTTATTATTTCTCTTCTCCTGCTCATTTTAGGCTTTATTTGCTGTTCTTTCTCCAGCTCCTTTAGGTGTAAAGTTAGGTAGTATATTTGAGACCCTATTTGGTTCTTGAGAAATGTTTGTATTTCTATATACTTCCCTCTTAGGACTACCTTGGCTGCATCCAAAAGATTTAGTACAGTTGTGTTTTCATTTTCATTTTTTCCATGAATTTTTTAAATTCTTCTTTAATTTCTTAGTTGACCCATTCATTCTTTAGTAGGATGCTCTCTAGCCTCCATGTAACTGAGTTCTTTCCAAATTTCTTCTTGTGATTGAGTTCCAGTTTCAAAGCTCTGTGGTCTGAAAATATGCAGGGAATGATCCCAGTCTTTTGGTACTGGTAGAGACCTGATTTGTGACCCTGTAGGTGATCTATTCTGGAGAATGTTCCATGTGCATTAGAGTAGAATGTGTATTCTGTTGCTTTAGGATGGAATGTGCTGAATATATCTGTGAAGTCTATCTGGACCAATGCATCATTTAAAGATCTTCTTTCCTTATTGATCTTCTGTTTAGATGATCTGTCCATTGCAGTGCAGTGGGTTTTAAAGTCCCCTATTTTTATTGTATTATTGTCAATGTGTTTCTTTGATTTTATTATTAATTGGCTTATATATTTGCCTGCTCCCATGTTAGGAGCATAAATATTCACAATTATTAGGACTTCTTGTTGTATAGACCCTTTAATTATGATATAGTGCCCTTCCTCATCTCTTACTTACAGTCTTTGGTTTAAAATCTAAATTGTCTAATATAAGGATTGCCACTCTAGCTTTCTTTTGATGTCCATTAGAATGATAAATGGTTTTCCATCCCCTCACTTTAACTCTGGAGGTATCTTTGGGTCTAAAATGAGTGTCTTGCAGACAGCATATCGATGGGTCTTTGTTTTTTATCCAATCTGTGTCTTTTGATTGGGGCATTTAGCCCATATACATTCAGAGTAACTGTTGAAGGATACGAATTTAGGGCACCTGGGTGGCTCAGTTGGTTAAGCGACTGCCTTCGGCTCAGGTCATGATCCTGGAGTCCCAGGATTGAGTCCCACATCAGGCTCCCTGCTCAGCAGGGAGTCTGCTTCTCCCTCTGACCCTCCTCCCTCTCATGCTCTCTCTCATTCTCTCTCTCGCAAATAAATA